TGAATTCAAACAATAAAATAATTATAAAAGTAGTCGGATATAAAATTAATATGTAAAAGTCAGTAGCATATACAAAAATAACAACCAGCTAGGAGATATAATAAATGCACAAAACCATTCACAAGATAACAAAAAAGATAAAATATTTAGGAACAAACTTCATAAGAAAAGCCCCAAATCTATTTGAAGAAAACAATAAAACACTTCTGTAAGACACAAAAATGGGCTTGAAAAAATGGAAAGACGTTTCTTATTCTTTCTTAGCACATCTCAACATCATCAAATTGTCAATTCTCCTTAATTTACAAGTGTAATCTGATTCCAATAAAAATTCCAATGGGTTTTTTTATAAAGCTGGATACACTGGCCCTAAATTTCATATGCAGAATAAAGACAACAGTCAGAGAGATGCAGGGGAAGAGAGGAGCAGAGAAGAGGTGAGGTAGAAGCAGAGTCTGAAAGACTCAGAGCATGAGAATGATTGACCCACCATTGCTGCCTTGATAACGCTAGCCAAGGAATGTGGACAGATCTTAGAAGCTGAGAACAACCACCAGCCTATGGCCAGCAGGGAGAGGAGGAGCTCAGTCCTGCAACCACATTCAACTAAATTCTACCAACAGAAGGAATGATCTTGGAAGCCAGTTCCTCCCCAGAACCTCCAAAAAAAGAATGCAGATTTGATGTCATCTTGATTTCAAACTTGAGAAACCAGAGCAGGGAACAAACCAAGCCAACCAAAGGTCTGGCCCACAGAAACATGCAAGTACTGTACACAGACCAGCATGAAGATGATGACAAAGTCTGCTGGGGAACGTGAAATGAAATGAATACATATGGTTAGTTTGGGGCAAAAAAAATTATTAAATTACACAGAATTCATCTATTTTTAAAATATAGGTGAAAAGAATCAAGAAGATTTTGAAAGAAGTACATTGAGCCTTGCCTTACCCAGATACTAAAAATTGTTGTAAGCTACAGTAATTAAAATACAATAGTACCATTCAAAAATAGACAAATATATTGATGAAATAGAAAATAAAGCCTGCTTACAAAGTTGTCAGAGGAGTGTATAGCTCAGTAGAGCACTTGCTTAGCATGTACAAGGTCCTGGGTTCAATCCCCAGTACCTCCACTAAAAACATAAGTAAATACATAAACCTAATTACCTTCCCCCCCAAGTTTTTTAATTGTGTATATGATAAAGATCATTATAAAACAATAAAGATTAAATTATCTAGTAAATAATACTAGAACAATTGGTTAACAACAAAAAAGTAGTTCTTCAACATGTAAAGTAAAATAAATTGTAACTGAATGAAAGAGTTAAATATTTCTTAAAAGCCAAATAGGTGAATATATGATCTAAAGATGAGAGAAAATTTTCTAAGAATTAAAGCAATTTTCAAAAATCCACAAGATAAAGGACCAATATAAAGATAATTAAGACCTTACAAATCAAAATATGCCAAACTATGAAAAATAATTTGGAGAAATAGCTACAAATTTTGTGACAGTGAGAGTACAAACAGTCAATATGTGAGCACTCAAATAATCAAGATAGAGACTTTAATAGAAAAATGGAAAAATATATCAAATGTGCTTAAAAGTTTCAACGGCAATAATAGTCACGAAGGTTTCTAAAGTGAAAGTTCTCTAAATTGAGGGCAATCTCCTCTGATTGAAAGTTAAAGCTCTCATGAGATGGTTCATTGGCTTATTACAGCCACATAAAATTGAGTAAAGTGATGTGATATATCTTTTGAGATGCATTTTTTAAAGCTCTGGACTATGTCAGTGGAGTATAAAATCCTATTGATCAACTAGTATGTGTGGTTGGCCTTGAGATTACAAAAGTTTTTTCCAGAATTAATGGAAGAAATAGTTGTCTCTTAGGAAATCCTATTAGGAATATAATTTTGTAAATGTTATTTTACGCTAGAAACAAAAGAAAATGTACTTTGATGATAAACATAAGTTTTATAGGATCCTATAAAGATTAAATAGATGAAGTACTTTTCACAGTCAGGAATAATGGCTATTATTCCCCTGTATTTACAAAAGCAGTTCGCATAATCCAAGATTAGTATGATTTATTAATGATAACATAGTGAAAGCCGCTTTGGTGTTGATGAAATTTTTAGTTTTACTGAAAACTGAAAAAACAGAAGAGTAGCTAGGAAATGACTGACTATGAAGACCTGTAAGGGGGGGAGGGCAGGGGAAGGCAGAATTAAAGATACACTACAAAGCTCTTTCATTAAACAGTATGGAACAGGAACAAGAATAAGCCATCAGATTAATGGATAGAATAAAACCTCGAGCTATAGATCCAACTACATACAAAATCTAGTTTATGATCAAAGTGGTACCTTGGATCACTGGAGGTGCAGGTATCTTGATGCTGTGTTTCATGTATGTGCAGGGACAACTAGATGGCTGTTTGGAAAAATATAAAAGCAGATCCATTCTTTCTGTCACATCCAAGAATAAACTCCAAATGGATCAGAGACACAAATATATAAAGTACATCTCTGCAAACAGCAGAATACATGAGCAGATTCCTCTAAAACGCACATGCAAGGAAAGGCTTTCTAACTATGACTAAAATCTCAGATGCAATTTCAGAAAAGATTGTTATACTTGACTACGTACTAATAAAAAAATTTTGTGTGGCAAGAAAAAAATTGGTTAAAGTCAAAGACAACTGACAAACTGGGAGAACAGAGTCACAGCATGTATCACAGATAAAGGGTTAAGTTCCCCATTTATAGAGAGTTCTGTTTTACTGATAAAAAGCAACCTGTAGAAAAATGGGCAGAGACAACAACTCAAGAGGAAATATAAAAATGGCCCTTAATCATAAGAAAAGATGTGCAACTTCATTCAAACAAAAGAAATGCAAATTAAAACTACAATGAAATTCCATTTTTCACCCATTAAGTTGACAAAATTCAAAAGCTCTTCAATATTCTCTGACGATGAGGCAGTGTAGACAGGTACCGCCACGTTGCCGATGGACATGAAAGACGGTACAACCCCTGTGCTGTGAACCAGGAATTAACACAGCATTGTAGAGCAATTACACTTCGAAACAAAAACAAACATACAGACTCAAAGAAAAGAGATTAAATTTGTGATTATCAGAGGCAGAGTATGGGGAGAGGGGAAACTGGATAAAGGCAGTCAAAGGTATAAATTTCCAATTATAAGGTAAATGAGTACTAAGGATATAAAGTACAACATGATAATTATAATTAACACTGCTGTACATTATATGTGAAAGTTATTAAAAGAGTAAGTCCTAAGAGTTCTCATCACAAGGAAAAAAATTTGCCTATTTCTTTACAAGATGGTGGATGTCCATGATAATCACTTACTGTGCTAATCACTTCATGATGTATATAAGTCAAATCATATGCTGTACACCTTAAACTTATCCAGTGCTGTAAGTCAATTATATCTCACTAAAACTGGAAGAAAAATAATCTTCCGTTTACAAAAAACAGTGTGGTACCACCTCTATGGAGGAGAATTTGAGAATTTCGCATCAGCTCTATGTAACTAAATCTCAGCACAGAATTCCCTCCATGAATTTTTATCCTGAAAATGTATCCCCGACAATATAAAAATATGCATGTACTATATGCACAAAGTCTTTCACAGAATATTATTTGTCATGTCTAGGCATCCGAGGTTGAGTGAATAAACCATGGTACACACACACACAGTGGAGTACCATGCTGGGAGGGAAGCAGGGAGGAACCATCAATCTGAATAATTTATAAATATTTGACAATATTTGACTGTATGCCCTTGGGGTAGAGGAGGAGGGAGAACTTTAAACAGATCCCAAATTCATCTTCGTAGACTGTTTATTGTCATGGCATGTGCACAGCAATTCTGAAACTATTTCAGACATACTAAAGAATTGACCAAATGAGTAAATGTGTTGATGGTGTTGGAAGCCATACTTTTCACTATGGAAAGAAGGACCAACACACAAATATGGAATGCTAGAAGGCAAAAGAGAACCCTTCGGGAGTGGATTGGAACTGGAGGTATTGGTATAAACTCAAGACTTTAGAGAGAGACATGGATAGATAGAGGTATACACATACATATGCATGTATATGTGCATGATGTGAGTAGGCTGGTTTGCAAGTATACACATACATACATACACATATATGCACATATATGTATGGGAGTATACTGGTGTGCAGGTATATGCATATGTGTATACCTGTGAATACACACACCCACACAGATTTTCTAGCTGTCTTTATGGGAAGGGCCCAAGAGCAAAGACCAAGAGCAGCAAACCTAGCACCAAGACCTTGGTCCTCACTCAGAGGAACTAAGGCTTCTAGGAGAAATGGCTGATCCAGGGCTGGTTCCCAATGAGATAGGCTGCCTGTAGCATCCAGCACCTGTGCTCCTGTGCTCTCCAAATCCTACAAAGCGGGTCACAGTTCCTTCCACCTACCGTCGATATGATTCTCAGCCAATCCTCCTGGACCACCATGAAGTTAATAATGACCCTCAGGACCTTAAAGAACTCCCACCAACCCCCAAAATGTCACTTATTTTTATTCTGTGTTCCAGCAAACATTTCTCCAAAGGTACTGCAAAACTTGGATTTTAACTCGCATCATGGTAAGCTTCCCTTATTTGCAACTTCTCCCACATTTCTACCCCCACACATTTTGTCTGACATTACAGGTCTAAAAGTTTCACCAGACCATGAAGGTCAGAAAGATCGGCCACAGCAAATTAAGCATGGTATCTTGCAGAAGGCATTCAGGACAGTATAGATTTAAAAAGAAAGAAAAAGAAAATGAAACAGCTCACTGGGTGAGAGGATTTGCAGTGTGCAAAGCTTGTCCACCGACAATGTCCCCAGCAGTCTCCCCAGCTAACGATACAGCTGTCCCCGGAGCGTGGGAGAAAACATATCAAAGTGCATCACCGTGAATCGGCCCTTTATCATTTTTCAGGTGTCCACCTAAGATTTTTATTACCAGTGGATTTGACTGGCGACCGTAGCTATGACAGCAGCAGGGCCACCCATCTGCGGGAGGTCCAAGGGGGCACAGCAGCTCCTCACACCCTGAACTGGAGCCACCAAGACCAGCCTTCCACCTCCCAGGAGGTGATCTGAGCTCTGATGCGGATGTGCTGACTCTGGGAAGCAGGTAAGATCAGTCATCAACCAGACAGGCCATGCCTTGTCCCTTGGAGAAGAGTTGCTGAGGGTGACAAAGGCAACTGAAGTGGTTCTTCCCCCTAGGGCTTCAGAAAAAGGGAGCGCGCCCAACTGACCAGCCCAAGAGGGACCTGCCTGTTACAGCAACCGTGGATGTTGTCGCTGTGTTAAGGCTGAGCTCACTGCTCTCAGGCCGGCCCTCCTGGTTCTGCTCCACTGCTAAACCACTTTTCCTTTTTTGTATGTGTTTCTATGGCTGCTTTTGCTGATTCACTCTGGCACACAAGAGAGGCTTAAATGGCTGTGTGATACGTTTGAGGCTCGTCCAATGCTAATCTTAGTTATGTGCACCAGATTGCCCCAAGTTCTAATGTTTGCTTAATTTGCTTTTCTCTGGGTGAGAAGAAAAGAGAGACTCACTCAAACACTGTTAAGGAAACACAGGTTTTCTTCTTTCCCCCTTTATCCCTGAACTGCCTTGTACGGTCCTTTCAAGTGGCTTATGGAAAGGATTAAAAGTGAAGGGTGAAAAAAGACAAACAGAAGCTGTTTCTTTTGTCAGCCTCTGAAGTCCCACGAACAGACTGAAAGTTCAATCGAGGTCTGTGAAAATATTAGCAGACGCCAAAAGGCCAGCGGCCAGGATTTGTGTCTTTGTGCAAGAACTGAATAGCTACCAACAGCTAGAAAATTTTCAAAAGCTTGGCAGTGATGCAACAGTCCTATGAAAAAGAGAGTGAGAAAGAGAGAAACGTTCTTAAATGATTAGATTTATAAGCTTGTATGAGAATGTTCTCTACAGACCCTAAAGCCGCTTGAGCGTCTTAGGAAACTGAAATATTAAGACTTAGAGATGACATTTACGTATTTTTTAACGATGCTATTAGTAATAGTGGCTGAAATAAATCTGACTTGAAATTTTTGGTAAGAGTTATGCATAATCATTAGTCAAAATTTGTTTACAACAATCAAAACATGTAAACTTCTGGGATAATTCTATTTTTGAGTTATTCAGAATGTTAATCGCATGACATCTTAACAAGATGGAAATTTTTTCTCGGCAGTGAACTTTATTAATTACATTAATGTAGTCATGATTAGCCCTTAATGATTTAATGCTTCTGTATATTTAAATTGGAAGTATATCTACTTGATTCATCTTTCTAAAAAGATATTGGTCAACCTAGCTAAAGCTGTATAAAGTGAATTTAAACCAATATCAAAAGTTGGAAGTGCTCTTTATAAAGTGGGATTTTCATTTTTAAGGTCAAATATAAGTGACAAAAATATGATTATGGCAAATAATTGGAGCTCTATTAACTAATCAAATTATAAAATGTGTAAACGCTTCAAAAATTCTTAGTCAAGGAAAATTTCCTTTTAATAAGTATAACCCATCGTTTTAATTTATGTTTATCAGAAATTAATTTACTGCTGTTATTTCCTTAAGGACAACTTTTCTACTGAATCAAGCATCTTACTAGATACTAGACTGTGAGGACATAAAATAAACAGTAGAGGGCGCTTTAGTTCGCTAACAAAATAAAGCCATTCCTAAAACCTTTCTACATCGGTAGAACAGACAGTGGGAAGATTTCAACTGTCTGGTAAAGGTTAAACAAAGATGGTAAAGCAACTCCTCTGCTTTGAGTAAATAATAAATGCAAATTCGTGAGCCCATCATTTCAAGAGTATTTCATTTAGAAGACCTCACATTTATTTGGAAATTGCCTAATCTGTTAAATGTACTTGATTGAAATCAGTAAATTCTCATTATTCAGGATTTTTAAGAAGCAGACTGCTCTCAATACGTAAGAAGGAGCACTGTGAAACTATTTTTCTTGTATGTTGGTTCTATACACACTAACAGTTAACTTTAGTTATGTGACTTAATCACAATTTCCTTCAAAATCATCTTTAGCATCATCATCATCATCATCGTCATTTCAAGGCAAGATCCCTGCTTTCTAGTAGCTTCTACTCTATTCTAGCTGAAAAAAAATAAAATCAGTGAAATAGCAAACAAAAGAGAAGACAATGCACAATTAAATCTAAATTGTGTTGTTCAGTGTGTGTGACCCCAGGCAAGTCGTTATCATTCCCAGGCGCTCAGTTTTTACATTTTACAATGAGGTTCTCACTTGGTGATCTGACTAAAACACCGTCATCCACTCTTATTTTGTATACTGTTCTATCAAATTTGGTTCACTTGTACTCAAGCTCTCAACAGATTTACCATGGTTCTGAGCCTTTTGGGGTTCAGACTCACTTGAAAATATTCACAGACAACTTGGGGCTTCTCCCCTGCAAAAAAAAAAAAAAAAAAAAACCACTCTAAGGTATGTCTCACTCAAAATGAGTAAGAGTCGTATCAGGAGGTTCAAGGAACATCAAAAATCAGTCCACAGGCTTCCTAGTGGATTGTCAGGCATAACAATTCTTAACTATGTCAAGAATCTCTGAAAGAGGCACAAATCATACAGCTCCCACGTATTTGGGGGTTTAGTCCTAGAAATTTGATATGTTGTTGTTGTTGCGTGAAGGTGGGCGATGAGGCTGGAGGGGAGGGGTATGCCTTGCCAAGCAATTTTTTACTTTATCCCACAAGAATTATACTAGAATGTTTCAACACATTAGTGGACAAGACACTTTTTCATAGCAAAATAAGAGAATGCAAAACAAACAGGAGAAGAAAACCCGGAAGCAGGAAGGTCATCAGTGAGTCTGTCCACACAATCATCTGAGAGGCATCGTGAAAGCCTGTTTTAAAATCTTTCAAAAATTAGGGATTATAGGGAGAGGGATATAGCTCAGTGGCAGAGCACGTGCTTAACATGCACGAGGTCCTGGGTTCAATCCCCAGCATCTCCATTAAAAAAAATTTTTTTTAAGAAAAACAAATTACCTCCCCCCCAAAAAAATAAATTAGGGATGTTCGCTTTTCTAAGATAGGCTACTTTGATTCTGTGTCATTGAAAACAGAAGCGTTCAAACACCAAGGGACATTCTGAAACCAGACAAAGGATATCCTGCAGTTCCATTTATTTTCTACTCAGGTGACAGGGGATACTGGCAGCCTGTGCTGCGTTCTTCAGCTGATGGGGAGAACTTCAGAAGTCTGAGCCGCCCCGGGTCCCCGGGTCCCCCAAGGAGGTGTGGCTTCTGTCTCCTGAACAGGGAGGACTAGAGGGCTCTGCCTGCCATCCACATCCATGTCCAGGGACAGGTGCTCTGTCTTTCTTCTCCCTTCCTTCAGGCCAGAAGCGATGGGCTGCTCACAGTGTCACTTGCGGCTGGACCGCTGTGGAACGCCCTCTCCATTCCACAGCGGCCAGAAGTGGGCGAGCAGGATTTCTGGACAGGGAGACTTCGCACACAGCTATAGTGAAAATTTAATAAAAATTCGTATTTTATTTTATACATATAATGGATATATACTTACATACTTATTTATTTTATGTTTAATATATATTTAATTGTATTAAATTACAGATATAGAGTGTCTTCTAGGAAATTTGCACATAGATGTCATTGTAACCCCAGAGACAGCTGCTTTCCAGGACAAGATGTAGATGAAGCCAGCAGAGGGAGGAACGGAGGACAGGGAGTGCGACGGCTCTTAAAAATATTAGTCACAGCAGGATGAGAGGTGTTTCCCATTCATTCTGTAAATTATTTCTAATTGTGACCTACATTGTCCTTTAATTGAATGTTGGCTTAATCAAGTTTCATTAAAGTTTCAACTGCCTATAGCTATTGAGTTAATTTTTGCTTTTTTAATTGAAGAAGTTACAAATAGAATCTATGCGTAGCCTTGGATTTGGGGCAAAAAAGTGGCTTGGTGATTAATTTATACTCTCTTTTAAAGTGTATCGTTTAATTCTAAAATGCAGCAACTGATTTTTGTTTTTTTGGTTTTTGCTAAAAAGATGAAACCAGAAGACCGTAAAGAATTCCTTTCATGAGAAAGAAGGAAGGAGAGAGAGAGAGAAAGAAAGAAAAAAAAGAGAGGGAGGTAGAGAGAGGGAGGGAGGGAGGGAAGAAAAAAGAAAAGAAAGAAAGAAAAAAAATGGAAAGAAAGAGGCTTCCATTAAGTCCAGCTGGCATGGTGTACATTCAGTCGCTCTGGGGCTGCACCCTGGAATGGGGTCAGGGTTTAACTGAGTCCTGCACACTCGAAACCATCATTTTGCACTTGGCTGTTTCCTCCTGTCACTCTAGATTGCAGGCTGTATTGTTTAATGTTGCAAAAGAAGGATTGAAATGTCTGCCTTTCTCACAGTTGAGTACTTTTTATTGTCTCATCCCCTATTTACTATCGAGAAGATCATAGATTTCAGACGGATTTTAGAGGATAGTCAGCGAGACTTGTGGCTGCCTTTATCCAGCAGCATGCCCATCTTGGGAGGTTTATTCTCCCTGAAGATCTATGGGTTTCATCACATTCATCTGCAAAATTACCTACAGTGGCAACTAAATTCAGAATGAAGACCTGGGTGTTTTCATTTAGGTTTAGCCAATTATATTTTAAATGCATTTTCTGAACTGATTTTGGGAAGCTTATTAAGATCTAGTTTTAAAACAGGCTTTTCAGAGATCAAAAGCTCGCTGGGATTAGATCATTTTTGGCGGGCAGAGGCATACTAGCTAAAGAGGAGCGGTTATCAAAATGTAAGGACGTGCGCTTTTGCACCTACAAAGCCCCTCTTATCCCACGGTAGTGGCCATGGAGACCACTGCCTAGAAACCCTTTTAAGAAACCTTGTGTAGGGACTCGTGTGATGGACGGCCTCCTACATCTTCGAATCTGCGGCAGCATCCTGTGCACCATGCATCCTCCAAGCTCCTCCCCGGCAAAGGTGGGGCAGGTCAGGTTATGAGAGGGAGGCTACCCCGCTCAGTGTGGAACACACAGCCTTCGCTCCTGGACTCCCGATGGCCTGGCAGAGACTCCTCCTGCCAAGCCTTCCTTCCCTCTATGCTCTCACAGGTACCAGATCCTCTCCCAGGTCTGAAGGTTCTCCTGCCACCTCCTGCTCCCGCCCCTTCTATCCTCCATGGGTGTTCCTGCCAGGGAATCTCTTGCACCTCTAATCCTGTCTTGGTATGAGCTTCGTGGAAAACTTGAACTGATACACCTCCAACAGCCAGTAGATCCTGCTAACTCATGTGATCCTTGATTATCGATATTAAAGAAAGACACTATGGGTGAAGATGTCATCTTCTGAAAGCCTTTTTGGGGATAATGCACCCCCAAATGTAGGGGGCAGAGGTCATCTCTGATCATGAAATGAACTAATGAAGGAATTTCTTGACCTGAGCTGCATCGGTGACTTTAGGAGGTCCTAAACCCCTTAAGTATGTGTGTATTATGTTGAGGGTGTGTGCAATTCTTGCTGAAAATCTACAGATTTTGTCACATTCATCTACAAAATTGTCTACAGTGGCAACCGACTGTCAGTTAACGTGAAATCTGTTATGACCTCACTTATTTTGTATGATAACAATCGCGCCTCCACTTTCCACCCCAAACGAAAGGAACTTCAGTCATTTTTGAATCCCTGCAAACTGAGCCTCTTCTACAAAGACAGTACAGCACTCTTCCTCTGACACTGAGCTAAATTTAAAAGAAGTCATGCTCTAACTTAAGTAGTCATTACACGAAAGAAATAAGTCGTTGAAACAGTGACAGGTGATTTTTCATGGCAGGGGACTGAATCTCTGTCGTGGAGGTGTTGACTCAGCCCAGACAGCGCTTGGAGTCCATCCACCGGAATGCGCTGGGAAGCACCTGCAGCAGCTGCCCTCAGGGAGAAGGTGTGTCAGCACCACCGACATCAGCCACACTCAGAAGGTTGCATCAGCAGCGTAAGTGCTGGCATGTCAGCATCTCTATTTTATACCCCCCAAAATGCGTATAGCTTAATTAGACCAAAGACAGGGAATGGTCTGTTGATAGCTCAACCTGGACATAATGGCTTCCTAAGGGAGACATTCCTGTCCCGCCTGGGGACCCATCTAATACGTGTCAGCAACCTCTCCTGACTTGCCCTGTATGTGAAACTAGTCTCGGAAAGTAATCACTTTACTCCTGAGTCCAGGGGGATGTTTTGGTGAGTTGGGACAATTTGTCTAGACACCCCCAGACATGCGTGATCTGCTACTACCAACTTCAGCCAGGCTCTGAATTCTTCCCTCTGCAGGGTACCTTGTTTCCAAGCTCCATTTAAACGTGAAAAGGGCTTTTGCGGAGAGAACTGGTGGATCCACAGATCAGCCTGGAAACAGGCAAGTCCTTCGAGGGGAAAGCAAGTGCCCTGGAGCCATGAACAGTGCAAGGGGTAAGGACCCATGCAACACCCTCCCCCGCTGCCCGGAGATGTTCTTCAAGTGTATGATTTTGGTAGAAAACTCCATGCTCAGGATTGTCCATTTCTCCGTTCCTGACAGTACTGAATGGTAATTTTAGGAAGCAGCTCAAGTTCGTTCCTGGCACACTACAGACGAGCTTTTGTTGGGGGCTGGGGGAGGGCGACAGGCTGCTATCTTTTCAGCCCCCAAGGGGAGACTTAAACCCAGTTAAGTTTTAGAAAATATTAAATCATTTGAAACCTTTCCTATGGCGAGCCAGGTAATGGGAATAAACATCAGAAGAGAGTTAAAAACCGCTCAGACTTTTGAAGCAGAAACCAGAGATTTCTCTGTGATGATGACAACCAGATACAAACTTCTGACAAAACGGAGTTGTTACCTCCAGCTAAGTTCCTTCCTGACCACTGAGTTCCTTACTTATATTTCTTTCTCTACCGGAATCTTCTTTTTCTAAAAGGAGCGGTCACCTACATTCTGAATTAATGCATCTGTTCTGAAACACACACAACCTAGAGCAGCACACGTCACGGTGGAGATCTAACAGGGCAGTCAACAAGTGTAAGGTGGTCACTGTGATGATTCAGACCGAGTGAGGGCTCTCGTCTTGGGCTAAATTTATCTATTTACTAAGAGACCAGGACCCTGACAGAGATCCGGAAAGGATTACAGAATTTTCAGTTTGGGGCTGTCAGTGTCCTCAACCAACAGCAGTTAATGTCTCCCCAAATGTCCAGGGGCATAACCCCACTGACTCTAATTTTTTTAAAGCATAAAGATCTTTTCTTCCAGTTTGACCAATGTCTTCCACACATTAAAAAATACATATACTTTCATCAACATAATTCTGGAAAAGCCAGAGTGATGGACAATGAGGATCAAAGTGAAATATAGTAGGTGTTCTATGTTACTCTGTTAACGCCAAGTAATAATTTTGCACTGCACCTTTTTGAAGGATCACAA